AGGGAACAACATCCGACAAAAGCATCCAGCATGTCTCCAGCAGAAACAAACGGCACTCTGAAGAAATCTTCCTATTCCCAGCCATTCTTGCACATCACCGGCCACAACAAGCAGAACAAGGCCATTGTCCATAGAACTACTCAAAATGATCCCACGGGATATGACGACTTCTGGGCGACCAACTTGTATGTCACCACAGGTATCCCGGTCGACCTGAACAACGACTTCGATCTGGAGACTTCGGACCGAATCATCCAGAGTGGCAAACTTGGCGTTGCACATTCATCTGGCACTGTGCTTCGATTTGCAGACTTTGCCCCCGGGAGTACCGGGTTCATGCACCGCACTTCGAGTATTGATTTTGGCATTGTCATTGAGGGCGCTGTGATCATGAAGTTGGATGATGGGAGCGAAACTCCAATGAAACGAGGCGATGTGGCTGTTCAAAGAGCCACTCAACATCAATGGGATAACGCAAGTCAGACTGAATGGGCTCGAGTCGTGTTTGTTCTCCAGGACATTCAACCGCTGACCATTAATGGCGAACGACTGAGGGAAGATCTGACCCATGCTGGAAGCCGTGTGCCGAGGAGTAATAATGACAAGGAATAGAGTTATTCACACTCCCCGTTCAGATATTGCAATTCCCATATCTTGATACACAGCAACGATTGAGAATGCTGATGAATCTATTGAATCCACGTAGGCGAGGAGGTTACTTGCAGTGTTGCTACTGCACATGTTACTGGAAGATCTATAGAGCCAGTGGTGACTATCCCGTCCATGTCGAGTAAATTAGCAGTCCATTTACTATGCACATGGTTTTGACGCGGACCGTATCTAAGCGCACGCCTACATATGATGTATGAGGCGATACTGCAGTGCTAATCAGGTGTTACAGACCCTAAACTTGACTAGTATACTCAGTTCCCTGGTAGAATCCTCCCTCGACAAGATCCAAACCCTATGTTCCCCAGGCCGCCCGGGTGCTTGAGTTGACACGTGAAGATCACTTCATCTCCATCTTCGAGATATGTTCTCTGGATATTATTCGAAGGATTCGCTGTTTGAGACATGGTATAAGGACGTGTTCCAGCTTTTGAAAGCTCCATGAGACAGCCCTCTTCCTCTTTGGAGGGGCCCGAGATAGTTCCTGTGGCGAGAAGATCGCCTGGACGCAGGGCACAACCTCCACGGCTATGATGTGCTATCATCTGTGCAAATGAGAAGATCACGTTCTTGGTGTTGCATTCTGCCACGTGATACTTGTCTCCGTTGACTGCATGGTGAAAGTCAGCAACCCTACAAGAGTGTGTAACATTTACATCAAAGGCATGACGCTTACCATCCAACGTGGCGTGTACTGGAATATCGTAGGCCGAGACACTTTTGATCTGGGTCAGGTATTCTGGTAATTGACGCTGTAAAGATCCAGTCAGGCACATGGGCACAACCAAGTTCTCTCCGGACACTTACATCTCCATTGACTGGAGCTGTACGAAATGGGTTCAAAGCGTCGAGGGGAACTACCCAGGGTGATATCGATGTTGCAAAGTTCTTGCAAGTGAATGGCCCGTGTTCATTCTTCTGAAAGTCTCGAGCCGACCAGTCGTTCAAAAGGACGAATCCAAAGATATGGTCCTCGGCTTCATCGACCGGGATAGATGTTCCCATTTCGTTGCCGCCGGAGATGAAGGCCGCAAACTCGACCTCGAAGTCGAGCTGCTGGCAGAGACTAGCTACACTCTTTCCCTTCACTCTGATTTGACCCTTTGGCCTGTGGACAGGCGTACCCGAGACAACTACAGTGGAAGAGCGGCCATGATAAGCGACAGGGGCGTCCCAAAAGCTGGGGACCAGTTGTTCAATCGTACTTCCGGGTCGAAGAAACTCGGCAGACTGGTCTTGGTCAGCATATATGAAGGATTGCAATCATTCCCGACACCGCAGATGACTCACCGTTTTTGCGTGCGGCAATCCGAGAAAGTGATCCGTGAAGTCACCAATGACCATAGGTAGGTGCATCTCTACCTCATCAAGAGGGATAAGACACCTTCCTCGAAGTTCACCATGATCTCGAAGAACGTGGCCAAGCAAAGTGTCGTGCTTTAGTAACTCCTGAATCTTTTGACGGACCTTGCGATGGACAGCATTACCTTGACTTGCGTATTCGTTAAGCCTTGTCTGCTGGAGGGATCCAATGTTGATGCCGAGGTCGTCAAACACGCCACCTTCGGCCAAAACTCTCAGATCCAATACTTGGTCCCCAATCGCGACACCTATGCGTTGGCATAGTCTGGACGTGCTGAAGACTCCATATGGAAGATTGAGTAGGGAGAAGTCTGAATGTTCCGGAACGTCTACCCAGGAGGCCATCTTTGCTGAACGCCACTACTCAATTGAATCACAATAAAAGACCCAAAGTCATCGAAGGTTGGTCAAGCCTTTTTCAGCGATATTACTTTGGTACTACCTGGCACCTACCTTGCCCCATCGCGGATAGATATACGCATGTCGAACACGTGTGCCAATGGGCCATCTCGAAGCCCGTGGTGCTCATTGAAACCGGCTTTTGTCATCAAGCGTAGGCTCTAGAGATGTTCCCCTGATCCTCGACACACTAGCTGGAGTCAGGTTCGTAGTCCGATATTTCGGGCTGTTGGGTCCGGGCGCTCTACTCGTTTCGGCAGGAGTTTTGCGGCCCCGAATCTTGTATTTTCCGAAAAGTCACATTGCGCCTCCCCAACTTCGGCAAAATGTTGCCAAAGAGAGCAATATCTTTTCCGGTGGCGCAGAATTTCCCCACGAAAGCAAATCGGGGGCCTTGTAGAACTGCAGACTTTTCCGTACTCTCATTTCTCCTTACGATGAGATTTGTAAAGCGTCTGCAGTGGCGGGGAGTGTGACCCTACAGAATCAGAGCATCTCAGGACTGGAGTTATGAAAACAATCGAAAGGGGACTGGAATGAAAAATTACAAAGCAACGATTTTGATTGCCTGGAGACGGGCCGTTAACGCCGAGTACCTCATAGCGAGAGGCATTACTACTGTTAACGAGCTGTGGTGTTCTCGTTGCAGCATAACTAGACCACCAACAATCCAGATTCCATCATTTCATTCTCGCACCTAGACAAGATACCGACTTGCTTAGAGCTTCCACACCACACTGATGTTGGATATGGAAAGCTCACGGCGTGCCGTGGCGTTAGCACTGCTAGCTGCAGTTTCATGGATCTTTTGGGTAAGTCGAGATGGCGGCAACGCAGACCCATCAGAGACACTCTCAGTAGAATATATTAACTCAAGAGGCAGACTATACGCAAAGCCTTAAGAGGACCCCTAAGCTCAATACCTGGACCATGGCACTCGAGGTTCACCAATGTGGTTCTGAAGTACCATCTCATGACTGGACGACGAGTGCATTACGTTCACGACCTGCACTATAGATATGGCCCCGTGGTTCGCCTCTCCCCGCAAGAGGTCGCCGTCTCTGATATCGCGGCGTATCGAGAAGTCCACCGCATTGGAAGCGGCTTCGTGAAAGCCCCATGGTACGACACATCAACACCAGGTCTGGAGAGCAATGTCTTCTCCATGACCAATGTCCCAGAGCACGCGGCTCGAAGAAGACTCCTCGCCCGCCCGTTCAGCAGGTCTTCTCTCTTGACCAATTTCCAGAGTCTCGTGACCGAGCGCTCGCGGCTTGCTGTGGCCAAGATCAAGGAGGAAGCCGCCAAGGGCCCATGCGATGCCATGAAGTGGTGGACACTGATGACACTGGACGTCATTATGGAAGTCGCATTCGGTGAAAACGGCGGGCTTCTCGAAGCAGGCGAGGTAAGGATGAAATGCAAATCCCCTTGCTCACGAAGCCCACTTCTTCATGCCCCGGGACTGACTCTTGTGATCTCATCACAAACAGAAAAATGAGTTCATTCAAGACCTTGAGCGAGCAGAGATGGGGATGGCGCTCCAAGGAGAGACACCATGGCTCTACCAGCTCCTCAAACTGTTATCACCAGGCACGTATGCCGGCGTTGACCAGTCTCTGACCAATGTGATTGGAAAGGCAAACTCGGCAGTACAGAAAGCGAAGCAAGGCAAGCTCAACAGACAGAACATTCTCAGTGGCATGATCGAATATAGTCGTTCCGAAGGCACGGTCGTCGACGATTTCGGCCTCGGATCGCAGGCATCCGCACTAATCATCGCAGGCTCAGGCACCACGTCCACTACCCTGACTTACGCGACTTGGATTCTTCTAACGTATCCAGACGTGCGGCGTAAACTCGAAGACGAAGTGATCAAGCTACCGTCTACCTTTGACGATACCATGTTGGAGAAACTCCCATACCTCGATGCGTTCCTGACCGAGGTCTTACGTTTGTACGGATCGGCTCCCGGGGCATTACCTCGAACGACACCGTCCCAGGGTATTCGTATCGGGAACCACTTCGTCCCACCAGCAGTCACGCTCACCACTCAAGCGTATACTGTGCACCGCGATCCATCGATTTTCAAAGATCCCGAACGGTATGTTGATGGTCGACTGACTCCCACAGGGTCGTCCCTTCTCATTCGAACAACATACTAACACTCTCATTTCCCATTTTTGCCAGATTTGATCCCGACCGATTCTATCAACGTGAACTCACACCGGAACAGAAACATGTCTTTACTCCATTCGGCGGGGGAACACGAGTTTGTTTAGGTATCCACCTTGCGAACATGGAAATGAGACATGGCATCACCGAGTTCGTCCGCGAATGTCGCCACCTACAGCTTTCCAGGCTCACGACTCCTGAATCGATGGAGATGGAGAATTACTTTCTGATTGCCCCTGTAGGGCACAAGTTGATGGTGGAGAGTATCGATCAGTAATGCGACAGAGTTTACCTCTTGAGAAACATATAGGTATTCTGCAATAGCACTGAAGACATCTTTAATGACGATGTAAGGTTTATAACCATTTCAATACTATAGTCATTTCGAAGTAAGCCTACGAAGCAGTTGGCATAAACCAGTTTTCCGAGTCCAAGTAGTCAAAATCGATAGAAGACACATCAACCTGTGGTACACTCAGCATTTCGCCATCAGGCAAGACGTCAAGCATCGTAGGATGGAAGAATGGCGGCCACACATCGTACATCTTTGATTGCTGTTCAACTTCATACTGACTCAGTTCGCCAGATGCTTGTGACTGTGCATTGGGATTAGGCATCGGCGCTTGTTGGTCGTGGCCATATTGATCTGAAGCGAAGTCCAGTGGTTCTGTTGTCTGGAACAGTAGAGACGCCGAGGGAATATCTTGGTGTCTTCCAGCGGTGGTCGCTACCATATCTATGTGTGAATTTGGGGCCATACTGCCGACATTATCAAGTGCAGTCGCCGATGTGGTCGAAGTGTCAACTTGCGCCATGGGCTCAGGCTGAGCTGTATTGTCCTGGAGTCCAAGGCTATTGTTTTCCTCTCCCGTGTTCGCATAGCCGTGGTCTTTGGAGCGTAGAATGTCTGTGAACCCGAGGATCGAGATGCGCGCATCGGCCGAATTGATCTTGAACCCCAGCAACTTCCTCACGTCGATGTTCTTCGGTTCGTCTTCAAGATCGACCTTGAGTCTTTCGTGGATGTGGTACAGACATCCAAGCTGCTTTTGCTGATAAAATTAAAACAATATCAAATCAGCGATTATTGCTCGTAAGTTGACTCGTTCGGCTGGGTTGACACGGAGACAGACATGGGGAACGACTTACCACCAGGGCCGCGAATTTCCAACACGGCGCCATCCTCTGTATCATCTTCATGTTGTTGCTAACATTCGTGGTTGCCGGTCTCCTGATTACAGGATTTGAGCTCCAGGTGAACGGGATCTGTACGGCGCATCCGCTGTACGCCGCGTAGGCGATGAAACTATGCGTCATGATTAGGTCCGGATGGGCGGTGAGAGTGGCTGCGATCATGTCAGACACGGAACGTGCATGCTCGTAAGTCTTTTGAGCCGACGCCTGTCTTGCCGACGCCCAATTATCATCAGATGGTGTCCACGAGAACAGCGGCACCACGGAAGCATGCAGTGCACATATGGATTGATGGTACACTGTATTCATAAGCAGAAGCAGAGGCAGTTTGTGGGCCGCAATGTCCGTATTTCCATCGGCATTGGTAATGGCCGTCGGAGTCAACCTGAACGCCGGTTGCATGGTCGTCCACCACTCTGTCAATGCATCGTCGAGGGCGTAGATCTCAGTGAAGCGAGCACCGATGCTAGATTCGGGCTATTTAACCAGTGAAAAAACCATGTACCTGGCCAGGACGTCAGCATCCGTGCTTCGGTTCAGACACCAACGGAATCGAGAGAATCAGGGATCGTACCAAAGCTTGAAAGCGCGAATCAGTTCTGCATATATGGATGTGCCAGGCCTGCCGTTATCGATGGTCACTGGACGAATGCACGCCTCTCCAGCCTCCAACTCCGCGTCGGGTGACGGCAATGGTAGTTCGGAGACATCAGTAATCTGTTCCATAAAAGCTGGATCCTCCATGAGTGCGCATTGCATAATATAGCAAGCCCAGAATCGTCGCCTTCGAATTTCTGATTCGACAGGATTCTGTGTATGACGTCCCGCCAACGAAAACCCCGTGATATGGAGAAGGTTGCACGCGTTTGCTGTGGCCATACTTTAAGCGTCTATTTCTTACAGACAATGGGCAAGAAGAACAAACACGAACCTTTGTGCAAATATGACAGCCTCCATGATCCTTGGGCGTACCAGAATGTTGCCAGAACACAGAATGTCACAATATTGTCTTCACAGAGCGATTCTGCATCCTGGAACACCAGTGATCCGGCTCGTTTTGCCCATTCAATCATGAACCCGTGATCACGAAGAGGTGCTTCACCGTTGTCGGTACGATAGAAGCTGTGGAGGGTTAGCTTCTGGTCATTTGTGCTTCATATGATGTCTCTCGTGGAAGGGTGTACTTGGCAGCATAGGCACAGACACTCAAAATCAAATGCGCCTCGACGGTGCCTTGGGCCAGAGATTCTAGAAATCGATCTTTCTGTAATAGAAGGCTGGCGTTGTAAGCATTCTCGAAATACACATCCACCAGGGTGTACATGAGAGACTGCGAGATGCCTAAATAAGGACTCTGTCCGGGTATGGAGAGCATTGCCGGCGCCTCGAGACGCGAGTAGTCTTCGGAGACGGTATGTCGAATATCATCTCGTGGGATGGGAATACGCTCGTCCACTGAGGGTTTCTCCGTTGTTCTGAAGTTGGAAACGAAGCGTAGTGACCGTAACGTTGACACTGGCGGTGGGTAGACACATTTTCTTCGTAGCCTGGCACATCTGATGCATACTGGTCTTTCGCCTGAACAACGAATCTATGGGAAGATCTGTGTCAGTGCTGGTTTCTCCGTCCGCCCAATCATGGGCGAGGGTCAACGGACGAATGATACCTTTTGACCTTTGCAAGCAGTACAAGCACTCTTTGGTCGCCCTCGACTTGACAACATGGATTTCATAGACCGTGCAGGTGCCTATAATTTGTATGGCGGGGGAAATGAAGTACCTCGACTCTCGAGTGGCCTTGGGGGCGGGGTAAGGCAAGTAATAGGCATACCAAATTGCCCATACGGAGTATTAGGTAAGTAAAGTACCGAGGCTGTTGGGGGGCAAGAAGCAAACCGCACGCGGGGGTACCACCAGCTCGTACCAGCAGTACAGTACGAGTAGTCAGTAGTCCTCCGCGGCCTAGCCCTTGTCTAGGCCAAAGTGGGGGACGATAAGGAGAGACCTCGGGAGCTCAGAAAGCTCACGGCAGCGTGTCGGAGTATTGTACTGTACAAGGAACCGAGAGAGCAAGCCTCCGAGGCTAGGCTTTCTCCGCAACCCGTTGCCTAATTAGTAGGGTTTGAGTGAGAAATGGCGATAATCAATGTTGGCGCGGTGGCCCTTTGACGGTCCTGATTGGCGGACGTGACGTTTGCGCTCCCGAGCACATTCGCTGGATTACTACGTGACCAAGAGTCTGAATGGAATTACACTACCGAGCCAGGTCCACGTCAGGCGCGGACGAAATAGGCCACCGGATCACGCACCTGCAATGGAACATGTCGTGTAGATAAATACCTCTGCTCACGAGGCAGGTCTTGCAACACGACAGATTGGAAACGCGGCCCGGAAGAAATCAGGTTGATAAGCTGTCCAAGGTTGGAGTTGAAAATGGCAACTGGCACCGCCACGCAAGAGGCGTCCGATCTGACACAGAAGCCCCTCGCAACTTCGGACCGCCCCCAGCTCGAACATTTGGCGGCCGATGAACCGGGCACCACCCATGCCAAGGTCGTTGAACTCGTTCGACGAGACGGTGGTGTTGTGGTTACCGGCCTCGCTAACAAGGAGCTCGTCACTCGCATCCGCAAAGAGCTGAAACCAGCATTCGAGGCAGACATCCCCGATGAATCGGGCTTCTTTCCTACCACCACCCGTCGTGCAACTGGCCTCTTGGGTGTTTCCGACGGATGTGTCGATCTCGCGACAAACAAACTCTGGATCGATGTTGCCAACGAGATCTTGACCAGTACCTGTCGACCATGGTATGGAGAGACACGAGCACATTTCGTCTCAAAACCTATCCTGGCCGGCACCTTTGGGTTCCAAATTGCCCCAGGATCGCGACAACAGGATCTCCATCGTGATGATAGGTAGGCCTTTCGGAATCAGCCGATCTTGCAAGATTTTCAAACAGTGTGCTAATTGGTTTTCTTCCCCGGCGGTAGTGACTATCATCTTCCCCCAGGTCTCGATTCGTGCATGGTCGGCCTCCTCGTTGCCTTGACAAAGACCACGGCGGAGAACGGGGCGACGTTGGTCATCCCACGATCTCATCTTTGGGACTCTGAACGTGCACCCAAGAACGAGGAAGCCATCCCGGTGGAATTGGAGGCCGGTGATGCCCTAATCTTTGGAGGAAATGTCTTCCATGCGGGTGGTGCCAACAAGACCAAGTGAGTGAGACCCACATCTGCACGTCGTCCAAAATCAGCAGCTGAACCGATATGATTGCCAGGGATGAGATTCGTGAAGTCGTCGGTCTGTTCATGTGCAAAGGGTTCATGCGTCCCGAGGAAAATCACTGGCTCGCCGTTCCTCCTCCCGTGGCGAGAAGATTATCCCCACAAGTCCAGCGTCTCCTGGGCTATGGCATCAGTCCTCCTGCGGTTGGCTTCTACAGATACAAGGATCCCATGCAGGTTTTATTCGGGGTGGATGATGACGAGACAGTGCGACTGTGAGAGTGTTCGACTTTCTCGCAGGCATGACGGCGTTGGACTTGGCCGCCTCCGCGGGAGGGAGGGTTGTTCAAGCTCAACGGCGGCGAAGACTTCCTTCTCGATGATGAAAGTGATCAATATTGTGTCTTGTCGGCATTTCGTGATTGTTAGGCACCTGAAGCTTATCAGCAGGAAGGCTTTACGGTCGTGGTCAGACGTGAGATGTCAATTTTGTTAGAAATTTTTGTCAAATGGTTCAGAGAACTTGACTGCATATCAGAGGATCAGAAACCTGTCTTGATTTGCCTGCCGACGTCCATAGTCGACCCAATTTTCTGAGTCAGTCTGAAGCCAATATGATTCGAGAAACCTCATTACCCTGGGTCGATCAAGCTCACAACTACAACTCATAATGAGCTGGAATCGGTCCCTGATCCATCGCTGCCTGGTTACATCGCCCTTACTCTCCGTCCCAGCCACGAATAGAGGCCATGTTTGGTCTTGGGCGAATGACTCAGGGTCATGAAACGTTTGTAGAGACTTGAACAACTGATCCCGGTGAGAGACCACGGTGCTTCCCTCGTTTGATGTGAATTGCAGTGCCCGGAATTTGTACACTGAAGTAGAGTGGTAAAGGGCATCAATCAAATTGCTGGCATCAAGGTGTTCAGATTTTGAACGGCGAAGGTGTTCCAGCCTTACCGACCCGAGTGCACAGCGCCGAGCTTCTGAGAGCATGCGGCCTATTTGCACCAACCTGGTCTCGGTGTCTATGTACGGCACCCCGTGAATTCTTGATTGCTGGAATAATCGCTCTGTTTGAGTAATTTGCCGTATGACGAGGCAGAAGCCCGCAAATCCAGAATCCTGACACGGCATGGTAACCATCTCCTCCGGCTGTCGAGGTTGGGGACCATCCTTGTCAAGCGATATGTGAAGATCTTGATCGCTGACAGACGTATCGGCATCATAGTCTGTCAGTAGTGCCCAAGTGGTTGTAGCAAAGAGCTCTTCAGCCAAAAAGGTTGTCGTTCGGTCAGAAATTGAAGGCTTTTGGATTGCTTGGATCACTTGTCGCGCTGCCTCTAGGTGCAATCGCCACACACCCGATGTTGGAAAGTGAATCTCCAAATAGGAGAGAATGATGACGCTTGCTAGTGTAGCTTTTCCCCAGTGCGAATGGGAAGGCATCCATGATTCGGTTGATATGAGATTACTCATAGTTTGAAAGTCTTTCGACAACAGCCTTAAAGCTTTCTCACGGTGGAGCTGCGTTGACCGAAAAAAACTGCCTGTGTGGTGGTGGTCGCTTCGCATTCTCGACACAATGTTACCGCATGCAATAGCAAGAATGGTCGTGAGTAGTGTCGGCGAGTCCAAGGCAAGTGGCACAATCAATTTCCGCCACGGATTGGCATCGTCATCATACCAGACCAGCTGATTGGCAACAACTTCGGTGAAGTGATTCAGAAGAGTGGCCACTTCAGGTTGGCTCAGCTGAGCCTCTACCAGAGACGTTCGAAATAACGCCAATGGGTAGACCTCAGTCCAGGGAGTGCTCGAAGGATCATGTGTCATCCACTCCGTGATCCTTCTTGCCTGCCTTTGGTCCTCAACGTGTTGATCGCCACTGGCCTCTCCAAGATTTACATCTGCCTCCTCGGGCCGATAATATCTTCGATATGGCCCTTTACTGACCGCGCCACACACCCACTTCAGCTGTTTCTCGTAACCAGGGCATGACAGCCTTCGCGAGACACATTTCCAGCAGGCCGGGATGGTTCTGTCGCAGCGAATGCGTCGGCGATTGCAGGTACGACAGTCTCCCGGCAGATTCAGCATATGACTTGAAAAGTATACGGGCGAGCCGAACTTACCTTTCAGAGCTGGCGACATGAGTGATTGTCATGTTTCTTGGTGCATACGGCGATTGCGGTACAAGTTGTTGCGGACAGGCCAGTTGGGAGCGAGCGTCCACATAAGTATAAACCCACCACTTTTAGCTTCAAGCAGCAAAAAGGTCCGATCAGAGTGGAGAAGTTGAGTGCATACGCCCAGCTCCTCGAGCAGAAATTGTGATATTAGAGATTGATTACAGCCGGGCGTTTAATGACAAGAACTACAAGCGCTATTCCCAATCAAGCAAGTTTGTCGAGTGCTTGGACCGGGCCCGTCAAGGCTGCTTTCGATACTGCGCTGAACAAATATAGCAATGTAGAATTTTTCATCGTGACGGCCCTGTTCATTGGCCAGGGAAGACTTGGGTGCTCCTCGCAAATATTTTGGTGCTAGGTCGGCAGTCCTTCATCACTCATTGGTCCCCTGCTGGCCTAGTCAGCCGCTTATCTGCATACTCCGTGTTCAGCCGCTTCCGGACGAAATATGGCAGGGTACGCTGTTGCTGAGAACTATAGAGTTTACCTCAAGAATGGGGCGCTTAAGAGTTCAAACAAGAAACACATTGAAGAACATTTACTGATCTACGTCGATCAATTTAATATCCATTTTCACGTCCGTATATGTGAGATCATACGGCTGAGCATACTGTGAATCAAGGAAATATAGATTTTACGAGACATCTCTAGGTAGCACCTTTGGGTCCTAAGTCTAGGATGATCTTATACCCCCTGGGCCTTCAAACATTACTCTTGAAAAAGCCCGAGTTGCGAAGATCTACCATAGTACGCCTACTTCTACGACGTGCCCTCCTCGCAACCCCTACTGTCTGCCTACATTCTATTTACAGCGCCATCACCGATCTCAATCACGAGAATACGGACGTCCTTCATTGACAGAGACATAACATCCATACCCTAATTTGATCGCAAAGATAAATATCCCCTGAAGAAAATGGAATACAATCATTAAAGTGATAGCGATCGCCGCTCTACAAAGCCATGGGCCATGATAGCGAAATTCGACGTCAAAGAAGGATCCGAGATGGAATGGCAGTAACATGTGCAAAGGGTCACTATGCACCCAAGCGAGCCCAGAAATTTCATGCTCTTTGAGGTATGAGAGGACCGTGATGAGTTCTTCACAATCCAGGTGAAGCGTGAATATCGCCATGCTCTCATGGAGCGATTGCCATCATTGCTTCGGTCACCTGTGGTCTTCGACGAGTGGTATGAAATTTGCACCGGCTATACCACGGCTCACCGTACACTCCAAGAGCGTAGATAACTCATCACGGCTTAATCAGTCTTTGAAGGTGTATGGTACATGTGGACCGACATTCTTGACAGATTCTATACTCCAATACTAGTACAGAAGGAGCGGCGCACCGCGCCGTCCGAGATAAACCACGCCCCACAAACCATTACTGACCGACTTAATTGCTCTCGATCACTACTCACCTAAGTCAAGTGATTCATCGCACGGTGTCGAGTAAGGTTAACGTGAACAGATGTGCAGATTGTCATTGCCGGAACCCATTTAATGAGATTGTCGATGTTGTGGCATCGCTGGCTGAGAGAGGTTGAGCGTTTCGAAGGCTGAGCCGAATTTGGTGATTGATCTGTCCAAACGATGGGTTCCGAATTGGACAGAGTTCAGCAGTTTTCAAGGCCCTAAACAGCTTGCTTCATGCTAGGGTATGGCGGTCGTCGTCTTGGCGTATCTGACCAGGCCCCATACGATCCTTGCTGATGCCCACAAGATTGGATCTTCGTATAGCCATATCCAGAACGATATGATGCTATGAGACTTCGGTTGAATGGATTAATGATCTTTTCGAACCGGTGACACTGACTGGAAAAAAAACAAATCTACGTGCAGGGCTGGCTGCGTTACAGAAGACTTACATAAGCCAAAGTTATTCGGTATACTCCAAAACACCTATCTTAATTTGCCGCTAATTGGTCAGAAAAATTCAAGCATAGGGCATGTTTGGCTGAGCTGACTGACCTGACAATCCCTTTTAGAGCCTGTAGTTATGCTGTGAACAAGGTCTACGATATCCATCTACATCGTGCGACCGTAAACGAGTGGGAGAAGAGAGATACAGAGGAAGTGAAGACTCCGAGGGCTCTATTGCACATGAGGCAAGAGGAATATACTCGTTTGCGAATAATGAGTCGGAGGCAACAGTCACAAGTGCGGTCTCCTCGGCAATTGCTTGTCGGCAAATGCGTGATGGTGTCGGCCGCGTGTTGCGGCATTACGCGGCCCCTTGGTCGAGGCTGTTTCGAGATGATAAGCTTCGACCTGGCACGCCGTGGCAACGCAGGCTCAAGCAATTTACCACATAGGCCAAGCATTGTGTGCGTAAGGCTTGACGATAGCGTCCAAAACTTTTGGCAGATGGCGTCGGTGTCGAACAATGTTGTGTTGGCTAATTCAAAGCCAGGTTGTCCAGGACCGCCTGCTGTCGTCAGCAGGGTATTGCCGACGGGACTGGGATGCGTGGTGACAGTCTGTGGAAGCAGTTCCTTGATGACCGACGAGGCCGTCGACATACTCGTATAAATAGGTAGGTCAGGAGGAGGTCTTAGGGTATTGGTAACTACTCTGCTGCAATTTGCAACGGTCCATCGAACGGCTAACATGGTCAAATATCTCTCCTTTCTCGTTGCTACGCTCCTTGCATCCTCGGCAGTCATTGCCCACCCAGGCCACGACGTGACCGAAGAGGCAGCGGAAAGAGCAGAGTTCTTCAAGCGAAACCCAAAAACATTGCGGTCCTGCACGTCAGCCTTAAGGAAAAGAGGCCAGGACTCTACCAACGTTGCTCGTCGACGGGCTCTGGCCGACGATCTGCGTAAACGCCGAGGGCTTGCCCGGAAGCCTCTTGTCCATCGGCGCGATTTCAGCACCTACAACTTCACACACGAGGATGTCGAGTCCAGCATGACCCTGGACGTGGACGAGACGGTCCTTTTCGTGGACAACTCTTCCTGTGCGCTCCAGACCGACGTCACCCAAGGTCCTTACTTTGTCAAAGGGGAGCTGATCCTCCAGAACCTGGTGGAAGACCAAGAGGGCGTTCCACTCACACTGGACATCCAGGTCATCGACACAACGACTTGTGAACCGATCCCGGCTTTGTATGTGGACATCTGGCACTGTAACTCCACCGGAGTGTACAGCGGAGTGGTGGCGTCGGGCAACGGCAATAACAGCGACGCCACGAACCTTAATCAAACCTTTTTGAGGGGCATTCAACTAACCGACACTAATGGCGTTGCCCAATTCGACACACTTTTCCCGGGGCATTACACAGGTATGCGAAACGATCCATCCACCACCAGATGCAGAAGGAGAATCCTAACCAAGAAGTCCCAGGTCGAGCAAACCACATTCACGTCCTCACACACAACCAAAATTCCACCACTGTCCGAGTAAACGGAACCCTGCTCAACGCCAACGCGTCGGCCAACGTTCACGCTTCCCACGTTGGTCAGCTCTTCTTCGACCAAGACCTGATTTCCCAAGTCGAGGCGGTTGCTCCCTATGATACGAACAACCAAGAATTGACACTAAACTCCGAGGACAGCATCCTTGGTTCAGAGGCCGACATTACTGATCCTTTTGTTGAATATGTATGGTTGGGGAACACCCCTCAAGACGGCATTCTGGCCTGGATCAGCATCGGGATCGACCCCACCGAAGATGAGGAGATCAGCAGTGCTGCAACATACTACAAAGACGGGGGAGTGGCCTCTGACGATAGTGATGCAATGGGAGGTGGAGGCGGAGGAGCGGGAGGTAACCCACCAAATGGCACTGCTGCCGGCCAGGGCGAACCTCGTGGGAGCATGCAAGCATCTGGTTCGAGTCAGCCGACTGCATAGAAGCTCATTAATAGTGCTGTGACTCATGAGCTGACCGTGTCGTCTTGCTCACACTTCATACGTCATTTTGATCCGATATAACATCCGCGTCGCGACAGGTATTCACGCCGCATATCACCAGGTGTGAATTTATCTTGCCACTGGTTCAAAGATTGGTTGCCTGTATGCTTGCAGAAGGCAGCATTCGGCATTAAAGAGAAGAACCATGTAGTAATTACGTCAAATAAGTCACGTGCGATAACTACGAGTGCCGTAATAGTACAGAATAGTCACTCCTCAAACCGCCGTGGACCAATGAAAGAGCAGACGGGTTGCCAAAGGACTGCGAGAGCGCGGATCGGCTTAGCAAAGACTCCTATGTTGACAAATTCACGTGACGACTTAAAGAATTGTCGCCGACACTCCATCCGGACAAGACGGCGAGTATCATGATAAGGAAGGCTGCAATCTCATCGTCGTCTATATCATCCATTGCAATAACAGAAAGACTCTATACAAAACCTCATAAATGCCAAAATGATACAGTGATCAGATTCAGGTATGCAGGGCGACGCAATCCATACAAAACATTGGAACCTCACAGCCAAGTTTGCTAGGCTGTCGACCCATGTTTCGGGGAAGGAGTTGGCATCCTCTAGCACCCGCGGCATTATGAAGCGCTTTTTCCCTAAGCGCTTTGGTCGCCGAACGCAGCCCAAGGTATAACGACAACTGACAACTGGAATTTAACGGATCCAATTCATCCGAAAAAATAGATTCCTCCCATACCAAGCTTATTGTAGTCATCGAGTTGATGGAAAAGTGCATGGAGTTGTATGGACGTTGTGTTTCGGAATTTACGCACATAGACCTCATCGAGCAGATTCGAGCCATCTACTTTTCGAATGTATTGACGTCGGTGCACGGAGCTGAGCAGAATGTAATCCTACCGAATAATCTTACCCGCAAAACCTTAAATGTAGCTCTCCTCTTGGCCACCTTATAAGTAATCCTCGAGGATGCCAGGGTCTTCTTAGATAGGGTTCTCGCAACACCTTGGGGGCGGACGGCAATACGCAATGGCTCGAAGAGGCCCAATTCCAATGCTTTGATCACTTTGCTCCAAGTTTTATCTTAGCAGATATCATTCTAAGGGGGAATTATATACTGTCTATTCGCAGGCCCTACAAGCTCGTCTTAATGAAAGGTATAAGCATCGAGGATCGAGGACGGGGGCCTACTGGCAACCCTACCTCAACTGATGCTTTTGAAAATTTGAAATGCTGTCACGTAGAAATTCGAGTTCCGTACAACTAGCCATGTGTCAACATGACAGGTTCTGATCCCACATATCCCTTACCCAGTCTTCTCGCCAACCGACAGCTGAACATGCTCTTCCGTAGGTGGAGCGCTGTCCGCCAAGCTCTCAGACGCGACACCTTCGCTGTTGTAGCCTGAAGCTTGTTGACCTCGCATGACGAGCCAGATCTTTTTCAACCCGCCATCGACAAGCGGGTAGAAGTTCGCGATGGACATGGCAATCCAAAGCCAAATAAGTGAGACGACGATCCAAGCCGTGAAAAGCTAGATTCAGGCATATGATTAGTCTTGCTAGCCTTCGCGAATACGGTTGAACCTCCATCTAGGTAGAGACACTCACCCCTTTGGAAAACACAAAGCGAGCTCCGTACATGGGCAAGGGCCACAGGGCGACCTGGCCCGTAAAGGTGGCTATGCCCCAGTAGACCGCCAGTCGCGACATACGTTTCATGTAGCGCACCTTCTCTGGAGTAAAGTAGGCTTCGGCATCAAAATGCGAGGCCTTCGCCCCTACTTGGCCATGTTCGTCATCCTCGATTCGTTTAATGGACAGCAGGTCAGACCATTCGAAGCTCGGGTTGGGCCAGAAATAACTAATCACCAACGTAACAGGGAGCGGGACCAAGAAGGACGTGAGATTACCAAACAGGCAGGGGAGCGTCTGGCCGAGCGTTTTGATTGTTGCCCCCCCGTAGTATGCATGCGCTGTTCCTACCCATACCGAGATACCGGATGCGAAGCCTGCGATTGGGGCGGTAATAGCGGCTGCGCGAGTCTGGCCCTTCCAGACCAGTGCAAATGCCGTAGGGAAACAGCCAGGGCTGGTAGTCCGTCATTAATTGCAACAGGGGCCTAGGGGATAATAGGTATCGACAGAAGTATATCGACCAGGGTAGGGGGAATACAGAATGACCATACAAAGCTTACCAGATGAGAATTCCCAAGAAGTATAACAACCAATTCAAGTCCACACCTCCCTCATAAAAGGCTGTTGCGAGCGTCGATATGAGTAAGGCAGACCCCACTACACTAATATGTGACCATTTGATCAGTTGCCGATTGGTCGGTTTCTTGTTGATGTAGGTGCCGTAAATGTCGAAGGAGAAGATACTGCTCATTGCGATGAGTTGGGCTGATGCGATGCTGGTGCAAGCCATAAATACGATGAGGAGAACGGCCACGGCACCTGACTTGCCGGCGATGGCAGTGGAAACTGTTCACGCTCTGTTAGCTGTGCGGAAACAAGCAAACGGGAAATAGACTGGCGAGGGTTGCTAGATGGGTGAAGTAGAATGATCAGAATTAATCTTACCGTAGGGCAGCACCAGGCCGCTGGAGACCTCTGCGTCTGTCATCCTCTGTCGATAGTTAGAATCTGAAATGGCTTTGAGGCTACATAGCCCCCGGGCACCTACTCTGGGATAGGTTGGGAAAGCCGGCGTCTGTTCCAGTGCCAGCGCACTAAGCCCCATGACAGTTCCAAATGCAAAGGGAATGGCGAAGTAGGCGTTTCCACCTAATATATAGCCAGGGACGGCAGCAGCCACTTCAGCCGCAAAACCCTAAAGATACAAGTCAACATCCGAGAAGAAGAGCAAGCGACCCTAGTTGGCTGCTGGCAAAGCTTACTTTCTGCCAGAAGCCGGTGTCGAGGAAGACGATGGCGAAGTTTGTACTAAAAGGAAGCAAGGGTCAGAGCACTGAGCCCGCGGTGGAAGAAGTCAGACTACTCACACGATGTGGATAATGCCAAAGAAGACAGACTCTTTGCTGGTCATTGTTAAATACGAGCCTCTGTAGTTGCCTTCGACGGGATTATGTTCGGACAAAGGTTTGACGGCGTCGTACAAGGCTCCGATCGATCCGATTTCCTTGATGGCCAGAACCTTTATCGTAAACCAGACCAGTATGATCATGATAATGAAGGTATGCACATAGTCGGCCAGGAACGTAGCTCTGATGCCTCCAAAGTACGTGTAGATGACGACGCCCAACGGCAGTAGGAACGAGGCCGCCACGATATGCATTCCTGTCAAGGCTGACACAGCACTAGAGGCTCCCACGATCATGGAGGAGAAGTTCAACATATTGTTGATCATGCAAAGCACGATCCAGAGGATGTGAGCCATAGTTCCGTAGCGGGCACGGATTAACTCGAGCAATGTGTGTGCGTTGGGCACTTTGCGTTTGGCTTGGATCGCCAGCCAGCCAAAAGCACAAATCATAGTGCTCTGTCCATTCGCCCACCAAACAGGGAGCGCAATGCCATACCAGTAGGTAAGATAGGGAGCTCCGAGAAGGGCAGTACTGAATAGCCAGGACGATATGACCGCTGAAGCAGTCAAGCCCGAACCTACGCTACGGTTTGCAACCATGAATCTGGCATTGGCTGTCAGTAGGGTGAAGGTTGTTTATGTCAGCGAACCTACGTCTCGATGGTCTCATTGTCTTCGCCAAATGTCCGCTTCAGAGACCGGGTCACTAACACCATGCCTAAGGGCTGTTAGTCAAAAACGTGGGCATAGAACGCCAGGTAAGACGTACCAATGGCAAAGGCGGCACCAAGACCTACTACAACTCCATACCCGGTACCTTGTGATAGGGGTGGTGGAACTACTGTAGATTCAGCCATGGTTGACTCCTTGTATCTCTTACTGTGAGAGAACAACTGTGACGGCGAGGTCCCCCCGTTAATATTAATACGTAAAACAGCCTGTGATTGACCTTTGAGCAGATGAAAAACGAATACCCACTCTCCTGTGTCGCCATACCGCGCCCAGATGTTCCCATCCACGCCGTCCCGCCTGGCAACGACTGCTAGAACATGCATCGGTTCCAGAAGGGGAGACTTTCGATGATTGCTAGGTGTCCACGTTGGTACTCCAAGCAAGCTCCATCATGCTATTGAATCGAACTCTGAAGGCTATGGCAACGAGTTGCCATGCTCAGCCAATTACAACCTCGAGAAGCGTCTTAAAGGCCAAGTCAGGCGGCTAGGCCAAGACTCTGAGCCCCAGTGATGACCGTTCTTCTGGGCCCACGGGGAAGAAAATGGAAAATAGGCTATTTGAGCACTTGAGCAGGACTTTCGACTTCGTATTCCATACAGCAATACTTCTCTGGCTAGCCAGTGGGGGAGACGGCTGAGATACATCATTATAGCGGGTGATTATAATTCGGCCCCGAATTCGTGATAGCCGCTAAAATGTTACCATCCATATAACGGCCCGTGATCTGGTCATGTTCTATGCACACGGAGCCATATTGCAGTTTGAATCGCTATACACCGTCTTTGATATTCTTAATCTAATGGCCTATAGTGGCCCTTGTTATCTCGGCTGCCTGTTTTGGAGATAAACCTGGCTTTCTTATCTGAAGATTCAGAGATGGTCTCATAACACGTACAAATGGCGTGCTCTCGTGAGAATCGTCTCTACGACCTATGGGTCTACGGGAATGGTAAGGACCAGAGAGATAGGGAGAGCTGTCTTGTACAAAGATGTATTTGGCTAATATGTACAAGATATCCATTGGACGCAACTCTCTTGAATTCTACATCGAAGTCTACAAAATCATTAGGCAAAAGAGCTCTCCTCGAAAATGGGGTCGCTGCCAATAGAGAAAAAGAAATGGATTATGAACGCCTTTGCTATGAGTTCCCCAGGCCATGTCGCTGCAGGTAGGGGGTTTTGCAAAAATTCTGTCAAGTATGCTGATGAGCATCAGGTTTATGGCGCCATCCAGAGAACCGATCCCAGCAGTATCACAATTTGAAGTATTGGACCGACCTCGCAAAAATCCTTGACGAAGGTAAATTCCACGGCCTATTTATTGCCGACATGTTGGGCGTGTACGATGTGTACAAGGGCCCGGACAACATCGACCCGGTCCTGCCTGGCGCTGCCCAATTTCCAATCTCGGATCCTTTGTAAGGCTTCTCTCGCCATAGACTTATCAGATTAATTGAACACCTCTTAGTCCGGCTATCGCGGCCATGGCGGCGGTGACAAAATCACTTTCCTTCGGCATTACATCGTCGACCACGTACGAGCATCCATTCTCCCTTGCTCGACGATTTTCCACCCTGGATCACCTTACAGGAGGTCGAGTGGGCTGGAACATCGTTACCAGCTACCTGGAGAATGCGGCGCGAAATTTTGGCCTCGATACTCAGGTTCCACATGACACACGGTACGCTAAGGCTGACGAGTACCTAGATGTCTCGTACAAGCTGTGGGAAGGTTCGTGGAGAGACGATGCTGTAGTTGAGGATTTCAAAAGCAGGCAGTACACGGTGCCCGGTCGTGTCCGCCGCATCAATCACCAAGGGTGAGCTCCTCGACTTGTCCCAGCTTGCTGGCTCTAACACCAGCAAAGAGAATGGTTCAAGTCAGCGGGACCACACACAGTTGAGCCATCGCCGCAACGAACGCCCTACATCTTCCAAGCTGGAACCAGCAGTGCCGGCAAAGTTTTCGCGACCAAGCACGCCGAAGCCATGTTTCTGCCCGGGATGGAGCCGAAGGTGATCAAACGCGGTGTCGAGGCGATTCGCACCCTCGCGAACGAGGTTGGTCGCGATCCGAACGGCATCAAGCTCATCGCAGGGATTCTGATAATCGTTGACGAGACCGACGCCAAGGCTCAGGCGAAATACGACGAATACCTGTCCTACGCCGACGACGACGGCACGCTCGCACTGTTTGGCGGGTGGTATGGCGTCGATATCTCGACCTGGGGTGACGACGAAGACTTCCGCTTCGCGCCAGGCTTCCCGGGTGCCGTGCAGGGCATGTTAGAAGCGTGGAGTGCCATGGTACCCGGTGGCCAGAGCGTCAAATGGACCAAAGCCCGTATCACCAAAGAGCTCGCCCTGGGCGGCCCGCACATCAAAGCGATCGGGTCTGCCTCGACCGTGGCCGACCAGCTGGAGCGCATCGTCGACGAAACTGGCATCGACGGCTTTAACATCTCGTATGCAATATCGCCGGGCAATTTCCAGGACATCATCAAGTACCTCCTCCCTGAGCTGAGGCGGCGTGGCTTGTTTTGGGACGATTACGCTGTCCCTGGAGGCACTGCCAGGGAGAACTACAGCGCAGATGAAAAAGGGCCTAGAGTAAGGGATGATCATCCAGCGTCCAAATATCGCTGGAGGGCAGGGGAAGATATCCCCCAGTATGCGCTGAAAGAGAAATCAGTGCCAGTTCTCAACGACAACTCATAATCTTCGCTTGAACCACTTGCCTTACGATCATACATCTGGACATTACAACCTTTGCGGCCTGAATCGGCTCTATATATCTCTCAGAGACATCTATAACCCTGACCATGTTCTCTAGCACACGAGGTGACAGGAAAGCAAGAGATAAGGTGTTCGTACTAACAGCAAACGGCACCATTAGAAGCCTCCCTGGCCCTGGCTGATTTCGAGAACGGATTTCCCCCCTCGAGCATTAAACCACCCTCGTTAGCTAGCCCCAGTAGAATGACAACAGAACGCGCATCTTAGGAGGTCGCCCCATATCCCTCAGTGCTGATACTCGGTGTTGACGTAACAGGTAAAGTACCACGAGGGAGGGAGAAAAGGGAAAGAGGGAAGGGTTGGATTTCCTGTACTCGAAAGTCGCTCATGGCCCCCATAGGCACGGACTAATCATAGGCCGTCGCCGATCTTCACCACCCTTCGCTCACCCCCTGATTTAATTTTAGCGCTCACGATGGGTGAAGACTGGGCGCACCTATGACTTAACCCCTAATTCACCCTTACATAGGCGCTAGAGTGAGTTAAAACTAGGCTATAAGTGAGATAAACTAAGTTAGGCTAAACTAAGACGACTTAAAGCGACGCTATTTACTCGCTAGAATAAAAAGAGAAATTAAACTTTTAAGAATATATAATATAAAATAAAAGAATATATAATATAAAGATTAATAACGTAAATAATAAGCGCTAAATAACTTTTTATTAAGAGAACTAGGTTATATTATACTGAGAAAAAGTATAGCGTAATAGGCCTTTATTAATGAATGACTAGCTAAGTGATAGCTTAATAAGTATTAAGAACTTAGAGAGCTTAAGGAGTGAAAGCTTATAAGGGGGGTAAAGACCTCCTTATATAGATATAAAAGGGGGTCTATATAGAAGGCTTTAGAATAGAATAAACTAGTGATTATAAATTAATAGTCTTATTATGCTTAGCCTAACGTAGTGTGCTTAGCCTTACACGGGTTAACTAGTTAACACTTTTAACTTAGAATAGTTAACATAGTTAACAATATATAGTAAGGATATTCATAGTAACTCTTCATATCAAAAATTTTAAAGGGTGTAGTTTCCTAGTGAGAATTTATATTAGGTAAAAAGCCATGATTATACTATTAACACAGTCTATTTAGCGCTGCATAATTTTGTCTAATGATAAATTAGTATTTATATACAAAAAAGTTTTAATTGATAGTATACTTCATAAATCTAATGTAATTAGCTATTTTCACGATTGCTTTCAAATAGAAGGATGTGCTCAAATGTTTTAGGAATTGATGGCTTCTCTACAAAATTACTAATACTAGCGAGATATGTCGACATCCTCTATCGACAACAATACAATCCAGTTTGGGATTACCACAATAGTTAAAAGCCATAACGGTAACGCGACAAAGTTGTGCGATAGTCCCCAGCCAAGCATGACACCACCTACCATAGGTCCTATAATGCGGGCCGCGCTCGATGTACTTTGCGCAAGGCCATGAATTGTACCCAGTAGCTTTGGTCTCGGTGCCGCATTGTTGACCAGGAGCACGGTGGCTGGATTTACAAACGTTCGAGAAAGCACATGCATGTCTAGCAATGCCGACGACCATATCCATATAAGGGTTTCATTCTTGAGCAAGAGAACTGATACTGGGAGGAAGCAGTAGGCAACGACGCTGAGAAGCAGGAAGATATAATATGAGGTTCTGATGCCAATGCGGCCAATGAGCTGAGGGTACAGGAGAAGTTTGGAGTGGTATACCGATAATGCCAATCGTCGTGTTTGCGAATGCAAGTGCCTTGTTCGAGAGTCCGAGACTTGTCTGTCCGAGACGTTGGGAGTAGACTGAATAGAATCGAGTTTCATGCGGAGACATGGAAAGTCTGTAGAAAGCGCTGTAGCATGGTGAAACCAATATTTATTGTCATGATAGCACGAAAGGCGGGCTTTGTTTTACCCTCTGGCCTGATAATTGGCGGTTGTTCTTCGTTCTTGTCTTCATCAAGTTACTAGCGTTGTCTTCTTGAGATGAAATGGAGGAATGTCGATATGTTTGATGTCCTAAAACATCCCAGCATAGTACTCACAGTGCACTCACAGGTCTGCGTCACTGAAACAGAGAATCTGGCCAATTCTAGAGAAGGCGGCCACGACAATCAATGTGCGAGCAGCGCTCAGAAATCAGGTCTTGGAGGCGATACTCTATTTCTGTGAGAGAGACTCGGTGGCCAGCCGCCTCACTGCGACGGAATTAGCTAGCAAACTTTTGAAAAAGTCGACGCCATACTATCTTCAAGCCTCTGCGGTCCTCTTTCGATCCATCCTCTACCGCCTCGATGGGGACATGGCGAAATCAGAGGCTCAGATCCGCAACTTTTACAAGCAAGACATACCTCCAAAGACGCGCCGAGACCACGCACTTCAGGGAAGGCTTCATATCTCCCAGATCGAGAACAAAATCAAGTGTTACGAACCGGATGTCGCCTCGTTCATTTACCAGTGGGAAGTGGAACAGCCCATGTCGACTCTAGACATCGAAATCACGTCTCGGGTACAGAGTGCGGCAGCACGGTTATTCCAGTCTATTGGAGACTTGGAGGCAGCCAAGGCTTTTCTGGAACAATTTCTCTCCCTCAAAAGGGCTACTCCTACGCCAGTGAATACGCGGCGTGTTATAATCAGTAGACTTGCTGATATATACTGCGAACTACGAGAATATCCGAAGGTGACCGAGATTCTACAGCCAGAGCTCGAGGGTAGCACTGCGCCCGACCGCGCAAGCCGCCTGTACCGACGACTTATGCTTGCGTTGATGGAGGCCAACGTTGGATTTGGTAGATCGGACGCTGCATACCGGGTTCTTAAAAAGACACAGGACATCGCCTTTCCTGAGCCGGACAACCTTCACGACCAGCTGCTGCACATGCGTACGCTGTTTGGTGCTGCCCGTATAGCACACATGGGATCTGACCGCGCTGAAGCTGTACTCAGGTGGAGGTTTGCTCTCCAAGAAGTGGAACGCATGCACATTCTTAAGTCGACTCGCGGCTTCACATCCGCCATAGGATACCTGTCTATGGCTCACGCTCAATTAAGCATTGGCGACAGACACGGCGCCAGGCACTCATGGCTTATCGGGGCAGCGGTTTTGAAGAGCGAGATATGCGAATTCTGGATACCAGTTGCCTCTACTGTTTGGCTCCGTGAAATTGCCACGGACGTCCACAAGTCGGAAGGTTGGTCTCTCCGCATCATGTTACCCGGCGGAAGACCCGATCTCACGTGGCCCTGATGGGATGCTCTCCTCGTACGCATTATCTGCATTACTTCTCTGCATTACTTCTCTGCATTACTTCTCTGCATTACTTCTCTGCATTACTTCTCTGCCTTGGCCATGCCCTCCCTGAGTCGATGTCGATCTTGAAGAAGCCAGCCTAGCTGTGACGAAAACCACGCGCAGATGATCAGGCGAGTAACTTGTGGAACTAGGAGATAGAAATGATAACGTCCTGGTAAGATTTAGAGTTTAGTTCGCGTTGGCTTGACATATTACGCCGGTAGGAAGAAGAGCACCTCGGGAGAACGAACTACACTTGGTTGCCCGAGCATGGACGGATAGCAAGCATTATGTCTCTCCGGTTACATTTGGCTTTTTCTTGATCATTGTCCGTGTGTTGTGTTCTTAGCGGGCTGATATCTTGAGAGCTAGTCCTGTGTCTTTCAACTTTGTCCACAGCGGACTGAACATGACCGCATACCAATACAGATTGTAGCTTATCACGCTGCCATAGGTGGCACTGTTTTGCCAGCCAAGAAGCGCGTTGAAAATTCCCCACTAACCGCCTCCCTCCAAATCCGGGTTGCAACAGTTCACGTGCCTCATACTGCATCGAATGTCATTAGAGCCTGGGCCAGACCCATTTTCAGCAGCGTCTCCGCCAGTCAGCCGATTCCAATCATCGGCTTCAAAGAACCAGACTGAGGACGAAAAGAGTCCGGCGGCGATGTGATATAGCAGACAGGTGCCTGCTGTCAGAATCATCTTGAGCGACACCATCCTTCCATCCATTGTAGAATAGCATGCCTGTGAGGATACCGGCGAGAAAGCCAGAGACCACTGGAATCGGAATGGAACTTGCTGGTGCTCAGGCCGAGCCAGTGGCGCTGATCTCTGTCGAGTCCCCTGTCGGTACTGGCGCGAATACTTCGCGCGAGAGGTCGAAGAGACTTCACGCGGGTCTCGCACGAGGCTAGTAACTGATAGGATGCATCAACTGCTCTGCTGTGGCCCACTCGATCGACGATTGTCTGGCCTTGAGGCAGCCAAAGAATCAATTTGTCTCACCTATCGGAGATGCAATCTATCGTCATCTATTGCTTGGTTTGCCTAGGCGATGCGGCCAGTTAATTGATACACCACTTCCAAGAAGAGTTTGAGCTCCACGCAAATTGTATTAACTCTCGGGTGGATCGTCGATCTCTGGATTCCCACAGCATTATTTGGACAGGAGCTCGGCATTTGGCACTCGTTCTTCAGCGTAATATTGTTGTTGGCATTTCCCTCAAATCAAAATTGGTAGAGTTGTTCAACCTAAGCCGATGTCAGTAACGATTGGCACCGGACCAGGTATCTCGGTCGAAATGACGGCGGTGTCTACATCGTTTTGTAGAGAGCAGGCTTGGTTGCTGTTCAGTTTCCCATTTCCGTTTCGGAGGCTTCAATGGTGGAAGGGTAGACCGCGGGTGCGTAGGCTTTTTTGGGTCAGTATTTCATCATGGAACAACGTTGGCGATCCACATTAGCTCTTCCACCGCTGACTGGCAGGCATCGGATGTTGGCTGGTAATCTACTTATTCTCATTAATGCAATCAAGCGGTCCAAACGGGCGTTCCGTCGAAGAGAATTTGCTCGTGGGCTTTCTTGATGCCTTGAGAACGTTTCTCTTTCGTAGGTCAGTCGAGAAGTGAAAATGGAAGAGGATTGACGACCAACATTGGGTAACTTTGAGTGTCGCGTTGAGGCCTGCATTTACCACTCTCCCTTTCTATCCTTGTGGATTCTAGTTGTGTTGTGACTCTTACGAAGCAATCTATCGTCCAAGTGCAGGTGACACGGGGCTGCCTCGTCGCAGCTTACGATCCTCGCGCTGAATACCTGCGCCCGTGCAAGGCTAGTTCCTCTCGCTCGGCCTTCTCAGCTTCCTCATCTAGCGCCGCGCCTGCACCTAATGGTAGGCTATTCGCAATCTTGACAGGCTCAAATACATTGGTTGACCTCAAGAAAATCTCGTCGATGTCTTCAAGCGCTCTGCCTTTGGTCTCCGGACAGAAGAAGAAGTATACCGTGAACGCCAATGAGCTTGTACAAACGTAGACGGTGTAATATTTCCATCCGAGATGATCAAATCCAAGCGGCGTGACCTCGGCCACGAGGAAATTGAAGATCCAATTCGTTGCCGTTGACATCGCCGTGACCTTTGCCCGGATGCGGAGAGGTGAGATCTCTGCGGAGTACATAAAGGGGATCAGGAACAGACCAATGGGAAAGAAGAAGAGAGTCATGAAGTCGAAGAGCAAGGTGGCTCCGGCGATGCTCTTACTGCCAGCTGCATACTTTGTTAGCGCTGCAAGGCCAGACTGGGCTATGATCATGCCGAATGAGCCAATCAAGAGTAATTTGCGTCGGCCGATACGATCAACCAGGAACACCGCAAGAGTGGCGCAGAAGAACTGCCAGATTTGCAGGCAACCTGATATGACTCGTGAGAGAGTCGGGGAGTACCCGAGGATATGTTGAAAGATGACGTTCGAGTAAAATGTGACGATGTTGACCCCAGTCATTTGAGCCAGCATATTGACGGCCATTGCGAGGAGTGTTCGATGGAGATGTCGATTTCTCGTCATGGCAAAGGGGTTGCCAGAAGATCCCACATGCTCTGCGTCAATTGACGCCTTGATGATATCGATCTCGTCAACAATAAGTCTGGAGTTTCTTGGCAAGGCGTCTAGTCGTGAAAGTGAGTCCTTGGCACCCTCATAATCGCCTTTCTTGACAAGCCAACGTGGCGATTCTGCGACTGTTAGTCGATTCCTGGAATGTATTTCGCCTCGTCATACCTGGCAAGAGCAAAATCAACCACAGTACAATCAGGGCGAACACTGACTGGAATGCAATCGGGAACCTCCAGTTGACAGAATTGTTCTTGACGAAGAAAAAGCCAAAATCGAGCCATGTTGCGAAACAAACACCACCAATCGCAAAGCAACCCTCCATCATTACCAATCTGCCGCGGTTGTGTGCTTTCGAGCATTCAGTAACCCACATCGGCACAGTGGCGGTGAAGGCACCAACACCCAGGCCGGTTATGATTCTTGCGGGGATAAGTTGACCGAGACTGAAGGGTGTTGCCTGAATTATAACGCCTATGATAACAACGCATGCTGCTAGAAAAATGGTCTTTCGTCTGCCTAAGATGTCGCCCAGAATAAAGCAGGAAAGGGCTCCCAGGGAACAGCCAACTTCGTAAATTGCAACCGCCGTGCCTTGCAAAACTGATCGACTATGGCTCTTGTCTACAGACGTGTTGATGGACGGAAATTGCTTCTCCCACGTAGGTAAGGTTAGAAGGCCATTGACAACAGCCTGATCATAGCCCTGTAGCAAGAATGCCACCGCGCCTACGCTGCCGACTAGCAAGCCTAGTGCGTGGCCTTCAAGTCTGATGGAAGGCATTCAGATCAGGAAAGCTTCAATTCAAGAAGCTGTTCATGTGAGACTTTTGGGGAGAGTCGACGAGCATCTTGTACCTAACCTAATATAAGAGCTTGATTTTCTCTCTCCGTCATACCCCGCCCTCGAGCCGCCAACAGTGTCGGCTCCGCGACCAGCAACTCTTGGTGAAGTGACGTACTGTGGGACCTGATGACATGGCCTACGAAAAAGCTTGTGGCAGTCTATTCGAAATAAGCCATGGGGTATGGAACCGCGGATACTCGGTTCCTCAAATAGCGTGGACTTGTGGCGTAGGCAACGCTTAGTAGCATTGTCTAATCTTATGTTATGTGATTGCCTCTCTGTTTGCGTCACCAAAGTCTGGACGGTTAGCACCACTTCCTCAAATCGGGCAAAATTTTCCTTTGCATTGCCGTCGAAGCCGTTCAATAAAAGGCGTTGGAGGATTGAAGTGGATGTAATTGAGTAACAGTATTTGCTATCTCCGACGTGGATTTCCGGATGGTTGCAATTCAGGTGGCGGCAGTCAAGTGGCGGGATTTCGTAGGGTAATCTCAGCAGATCCGGGCGTTTTGAACCGAGAGACAGTCGTGAAAGACGACAACATCCTGCGTTGCACAACTCAAGCACACTGGTTGGGTACAATACACTTAAACCGGGATGTCGTTACCGAGTGCAGAGGCGCTACACATTCTGTACACTAGAAGAGCATTCTTCCCACTAGCAAACGCTTCGACAGTTCGAGTTACAGCTCGAGTGTCTATGTGCTAGGGACCGATGGGCCAAAACCTTCCTGGCGTATTTATTTCCCGAGGGAGACGACCACTGTAATCAAACCCTGGATTTTGCGAGCACGTTGGCTTATTGTGTTTTAGGTGACTGTCTATATTGCTCTGTACGCCGTTCTCACTTGCAAATCAGACGGCAAGCCTGGCAGCAGATCCTCAACTATAACTCGGAAGTAGGCATTCAGCACGATGATAGCTATTTAATATACGAACTTATTCGACAGTGACAATAAACTTGAACCTGCAATCTATCTCATCGCTCCGTAACATAAGTACCTCAGATATTTTTAAGTCAAGGCACGTATTCACTAGATACATAGCATTTCACATAACTTACCTTCAATACATTCGCTATCAAAATGGTTAAAACTCTGTCTTTCGCTAAGGACAGGTTTCACATGCGCGTCGCGACACAATTTTTAAACTATATCCGCCGGTGTCATTTAAGTAGGTAGTTCACTTTTAAGAGCCTATCCCTTAAAGAGGGATTAAAGATTAGTTAATAACATTTATACCTACTATCTTTAGACAAGGCCATTTTATTTACACTATTAACCCTAGGTAGTTATCTTAATAAGTCCTTTTTAGTAAGTTCTATTACTTTCCCCTTATCTCTTACTTTTATCACTTAAAAGATAATACATACTTTCTAAAGTGTGTAAGGAAGTTAAGTAACTAATAAATATTAACGAAAGATCTTTCTCTATTAAACACACTAGATTTAGTTAATATCGTTAATAAGTATTAAGAGAATTAGGTTATATTATAATA